ACAGCAGGTCAAGGAGTGGGAGCCGTAGCAAGTCTCGATCAGTTAGTAGATCTCCAATGCCAGAGAAGAGCCAGAAACGTGGTTCTTCCAGTAGATCTAAATCCCCATCGTCTGTGGATCGGCAGAGATCTAGATCGAGGTCCAGATCTGTTGACAGTGGCAACTGAACTATAAGTAACTTGCCCTGGGGGCCCTTTTTTTAAACCATACTTGCTAAAACTTGTGGTAAGTATGTGACTTTCTGTGGGGAAGGGTTTGGATGGGGGGTGGGGGGGAGGGATGGGGGAACTTTGTAGATGTGGACCATGGTGGGAAGGGTTATTGATTAATTGTATTAAATGTTTTTTGATAACCCTTTTCTTGCTCACATTTTTTTGTGAATGTCTGAAGTGTATAGTTTGTGTATACTGGCAGAGCTCTTTATAACTAAAGCAGACAAATTTTTTGTACTCCAAAAAAAGTCATTTGAACACTTAATTCCTAGTACATTCAACTGTGAATAGCAACTCAGAACGTTAGTTTAATATCTCAAATTAAACTAATAGCTTTAGACATCTAAGAGCTCTACATGTGCTGTACATAAAGCTTTATTTTCAGAGAGTATTTTTTTGTGCTTTTGAACCATTGTTTCAGTTATAGGTCAGCAGATTAAGTGCTGGTCAGTACTGGTAATAAAACTTTATTTTAAAAGCTTTTCATTTGATATGACTTGCACTACACTGAGAAAATGCCCATTTCACTGCCCTGTGGTAATAATATTCTATAGACCACTCTATTTCTTGATACTTAAGAATTAAGTAGCTCAAATAAAGTATAAAGAAACACGTCTCTGCTTCTAGTGTGTTCTTAGAGTTAATAAAGTGTTTGCAATGGTGCCTCACGTTGGACAGGATTAAAATGTTTCTTAAAGATGGGTCTACAGCAAAGTGATCACTCGTTTGGGTGTGGGGGAGAACTACGTTTTAAATACATCATGTGATGTCCTTAGATGTCTTTATGTTCTGTCACAGTTCATAGCAAAAAGTGGAGCAGACAAGTCATTTAGGTTTAAATCACTTTGGAGAATAAGCGTGGAATGTTAACGATGGAGGTACTCGGTGTACTTCATCGGTGTGTTTGTGCGCATGTGGCACTGAGGGGTGGATAAAGCATTTGTATAGGCATTAGTCCTCATTCTGGAGGAAGAGGAGGGATTTTGAAGTTGGTGGGTGGGAGCACTGCAGCAGTGGTACCCTGAAGTTCTGTGTGTTAATGTTTGTGCCTCGCAGGGGCAGCAACCCTCTGCAAGTCCTTTGTTTCTCAAGCCCTCAACCAAGTTGCAGGAGAGAGCTTTAGAATGTAACTTAAAATTGAACATGTTTTCTTATAAAGTGCTTTACAAAGCTACTCCAGTAATCCACTGAAACCTTTAAAAAAGGTCTTTGGAGCCGAGGCTAGGCTTTGGATTAGGTGCTGGAAAATGCAAGGTGGTTCTGCTCGGAGGAAGGTCTGGCCTGGGGGAGGTTAGTTTGATGCCTGCAGGCCCTGCTGCCTTTTTTAGTTCGGGGCAGTTGCAGAGCACCGATGTTCCAAGCTAAGGAACCAGAAGGAGCTGTTGTACCTTGTGGATGTGGCTGTTGAGGTGGCACTGCATCAAACTGCCGCCCTCCTCTTGGGAGCTGGCGTTGAGAGGTGGTCAGGCTGGTAGGTATTAATTGGATTGCTGCTAAGCTGAGCGGGAGGCTTCAGACTCCTGGAGGCTAGTGGTTCAGATGCTGGATCGCCTTTAGAGGTGTGGAGGAAGAGGGCTTTAACCTCTTGTGGTAAAAGCAGCATTGACCCTCCTCCAAGTGTAAGGTTAGCTGCCTTGGGTCAGTTGATCCTTCCTGCTTGCTTGCTTAATTATGGGCATCTGTGTTCAAGTGGGACTTGGCTCCAACTGGAACCCAGGTGGCTGAAGACACCTGATGATTGGAAAGAGATGGTATTTCAGATGCTTCCCTCTCAGGCTAAGTATGAAGTACTACGTGCTCTATAAATAGTTGTTCTGAATTCTCTTTCTAAATCACACCACTTGCCTTGCAAGCAGCATGAATAGATGTTTGCACTTTACTTGGGGAGCTGGCTGTTGTGATGACCAACTTCCAATTTAAAACAAGCTCCCAGGCTTTGCATTATGGAGGTTTATGTTGACTTCTGTCCAGAAATGATTCTGTGTTTATTAAGTGTAGGTTCTTGGTGTGAGCCTGTTTATTATTAGTTAAGATGGATTACTTCAGGTTACATTACGTACTTAGGACGTTGGAGGTGTTGATGCCAATCTTCCCTCATACTCATGTTTGTAGTGTGACAATAGCTAGATGGTGTCCTGAAGAGGTGGTGTCTTTAGTTCACTGACTGTTACAGGTAGAACAAAGCACATTCAAGGCTCATCTGTTTTCAGAGGCAGAGCTTGCTGGACCCAGACTGGACATACTGAGGCAGTTTGCATATCCATGTTCCGTTTTTACGGCCTCTGCTGTGTGGAGAGCAGTGGTACACTGTGCCATGCTAGGGTGTTGGAAAATGGGAGTGACTAGCAGTCTGTGGGCTGCTCAGCTGCATGCTGAGTCTTGGCAGCTCCTGCACTGAGAAACTTTCACAACTCATTTTGGGTCTTTGTTAGAGAAATTATGTTAATTTTCAGCGATGTCTTCAGGAGCTGCTTCCAACACGTGCCAGTGGGACAATTAAAGGTAAGTGAAATTAAAAAAGGGAACTGATGCAGGCAGTAATTTTTCATATGGGCAAAACTGGGGGCAGTCACTTGGGAGCGTGGCCCTAAGGTGTCCCAAAGGGTTGTCACGATGACTTGAAGTCACTGGAAGTCTCGCTCATGGGCAGCTAGGGAGAGGCTTAGTCTGGAGCAAGGTCTTCAGGGAAGTAACAATGAGGGTGCAGACAGCACCATGGCGATCCGTTTGTCTGGCGTAGGATGAGCATATAGATAAGAGTCTTAGAACTGTGGCAGACCTGTAAGCCGGCTGCAGAAGGTGGAGCTTGGAGGGGTTGTGATGGTGGCGGCTGCAGAATCTGCCTGTGGTGGTTTTCTGGTTTCCCACTCTTTCTGCAAGATCTTGACACTGGTTTCATTTCTTGAGCACTGTGTCCACACCTGTGGAGATCATTTTTGCTGCATCTGGAGAAAAAGAAAAGTGTAGTGAGAACAGGCAGTTCTGAAGCCAGGTTATGGAAAGATTGTGACAGCTACAGTTGGTGTTGCTGGGTGATTTAAAGCCAAAGGAAGGAACATTTTGCTTCTGGTCATTTATGACTTGGAGCCTGGAAAACCATTCTTCTTACAGTTCTCTTGCAAGCACCTGTACGGCTGTTTCCAGTATCAACGGCTTTGCACTGAAGGCACACCTGAGGATCCAAGCTGAGTAGTTTGGTTTTTGTTTTGTTTTTCCTATCAACAGTCATCCGTCGGCATAGCCGTAAGAAACACAGGAGAAAAGCTGTAGTTGCCACTTGGTTTCCTTATTCTGTCATGGATCCTAAAGACCAGGATGAGCAGAAGTCCCTCTCCAAGCTGGAAGAAGAAGTAGAGTAGTGGGAAGAAGTACAGGGGGCTGATGACTTCTGGGGTGAAGGTGACCTTGCGGATAGTCAAGCAAAGCTTTACGTTCTGGCAGCCAGTTTCCATGCACACTGTCCGCCTGCATCTGAAGGAGGAAAAGTTAAACAGATTACAGATTTAACTCTCTTTCAGACAGTTTAAATAGAGCTCTGCCCACCTTGCTGTTGCAATGCTTCGTGCATTTGCCTGTGCTAAAAGCTGCTTCATCAGGAGCAGTACTAGGATCCCTAGAAGGTTTTGCCTCTTCCTCCCTTTGCAATTGGCAGTTGGAACACATTATAAACGTGGACTTTGTGCTTAATGGTGTTTCGAGGCCTTATGTCCTGCTCTGGGCTCTGCAGCTTCCTCCAGGGAAGGAATCTGCTTCCAAGATGAAAAGAGGAGTCCAAGGTATAAAGGTAAAAAAATAGTGAGGACTAGCGGGCTTCCTACCTGGGTTAGGATGAGAAAGGGAAGGAGTGGGTTTTATGTGCAAGGTTTCCGTCCTGAATTCCTGGGGCTGCAGCTAAATGCACTGACTGTTTTGGTGTAGTTATCAGCTGAGGAATAATTGTGTCATTTGGTTTGGTCTCTGGGGTTTCCCAATTCTTTGGGTTTTTGTTTGGTGCTATTGATTTTCTTCCTCCCCGGGCCTCATTACCAAGAGCAGGGGCTAGTAATGTGTGCTTAGCAGGTCACTGGTGATCTTAAGTCAAAACCATCCATCTGCTTGTTCAGTGAACCTTCCACCCCTTCCATGGTGATCAAGTACCCATGTCAAAAAAACCTGCTCCAGCTACTCCTCCCCTCTCCGATGAGCCAAGCAGAGGTTGAACTCTTCTCTCTCTCCACTCAAGATGTGGGAGTTATTGACAAGGGACCAGCTTGCAGCATGTCTGCTTGTGCTCTAGGAGGTGTTTTGGGAGACTGCAATCAGTGTTTATTCTACAAAAGTTACATCCATGTCGAAAGCCATATGTTCACCATTGCTCCATAGACCAGAGCTGCCATACCTCTCTGTTCCTTCTGGTGACAGAGCATGAGGGGAGTGGGGAGCGGAGGAACATACCGATCATTAAGCTTGAAGACTGCAGAGAGAACATAGCCCAGCAGGTATCCAATAAAAGGCATCAAGGCAGAAGACCCCAGGAGGGATGGTGAGAAGACAATCGTGATACCGCTTCCCACGTTGGCCACAGACAGAAGAATTATTGCAGCAGATGACAGTAGAAGCACAACCATCCCTGCCTGAAATAAAAGTCCTCAAGACAAGGACAAGAGAGAAATCCCCAGCAAGATTTGCCTCAGCTGTTGGAAGCAGCTGTGCCTGGTTCCCTGTCCATCACATATGTAAGTATATAGCAAGAGTGCGTAAGTGCCTTTCATAGACAAAATGTTACAAGTAATCAACAAGAGATCATCCTGAGGTTATTACCTAGAGACCTTAAATAACCAAGTACCTTTCTGGTCTATGTGCAAAATGACTGGCACTTGCTCCACCAGCCACTGGTCTCTCAGGCATTGCTATGTGTCTCTCCTTTGTGGGTCTAGTCCTCCTAAAGCAGGTGGGGAGGAAACCACCTTACTCACAGGTAGAGCTTGTCTACCTTTTTGGTGTCTGGTGATTCAGAGCTGGGGAATTTTGGGAGGCAGAACACACAGCTCTCCTGCCTGTCTCTGCACTTTGGAGTCCAATTTGGATGGAGTTCCCCAGGTGTTTTTTAAAAGCAAGTCTCCACCTCCTTCCTCTTTTGTAGAGAAGGTAAACAGAAAGGTGGTGTTAGCAGAAAGGAACATGACCCAAGGGTCAGCTGGGCCACTGTAGGTCACTTTGTCATGCTAGGCTTTTAAAGCTTCTTTTGAAACAGTCCAGCCATCACTGCCCTGTGCTGGGTAAAGGGACCTTTGAAGAGCTCTGGTCCTCCTGCGTCTGCTCTAGCCTGACTCCCACGTTCCTGTGCTTCTTAGAGGTTTGTGATTCCTAGTGTCACTTTATCAGGTCTGTTATTGAGTCTTGGCGCCCATTTCTTGCCATGCTTGGTCCTAGTTTCTCTGACATGAAGCCTTAGTGATAGAAACTATGAAAAACAGGTTTACAAAGTTGTTAGCAGCTCTCTGAGTACTGCTAGTGGAGCTCTTGAGTTAGACGATGGTGTAGCTGGTTGTCCAGGTTTCCCTTTTGCTGTTTAAATGCCTGATGTGCAAAGGAGGCAGGGAGATGATTCCAGGCATAAGTGGGTGCTTAGCAATCTGCTGGCTTCTTCTGGACAGGTATCTCATTGATGTAAGCAGCAACTTAGTGATGTGACTTTTGCCCTGTGCTAGACCTCTGAGAACAGTGGGGTGGGTTTTTTTGTTTTGTTGGTTTTGTGGGTTTTGGTTTGTTTTTTTTGTTGTTGTTTTTTTTTTTTTCAATCTGGAGGCAGTGCCTGTGTGGTTCATTAGTGCTGCTTGTAGCAAAAGGAAACAAAGTTAAAACTGAAGCCAACAAAGGGCAGGAAGGTAGGAAGTTGCCTACAAAATGTTGTTTGTCAGGAAAAGGCGGAGGACCTCTCTTTGGGCAAATATTTTAATGATTAAAGTGGTGAAGTGGTTGAGGATAGAACTCAAGACATCCTTTTCATTGATTTGTGGCGTGCCTTAAAGAAGTTAATATTTCCGTGCCTCTATTTTTGAAAACTTCCTTGAGGCCCTTGGTTGAAAGGCATCTAGCACAGGATACTTCTTACCTTGATGATAAAGCCAGCGTACTGTGGTTTCTTCTCATTCAAGACGATGCCGATGGCACAGGGGATTAGCATTAGCACCAAGGAGGTGATTATTCCTTTGTAAGGTACCTTGCCGTCCAAATCACCCTCATATAGTCCTCCCGAGTAAAGGTAGAGAAGCAGAGGCATTAGTCCAATTGCCAGGACCGTTGAGCATGTGGTCATTACAATGCTGAAATGAAGAAAGGACTCTCAGTAGAAGAATGACACTTTTCAAATGGAATGTGCTGATTTTCTTACTAACCTGGACAGATGGTTAGTAAGACTTTACCTTGCTCTTTCCCAACCTGTCACTGAGACTTCCCCGACATCACTGTCAGGTTGCAGAAGGAGGTGATACGAATAGAGAAGGGAGAAGATGACTCAAGTTCTATACAAGATCAGAAAGGACCCTCGTTATGGGTACAGCTCACGTTTCAGAAATTCACAAGTGACAGAGAAAGTAATACTTCATATTTTCACCCTGGATCTTGTTTTATCGCTAGGGTTTGTTGGAGAGTGATGTTCTGCTAGCTCAATGTTTCTCACTACTGCAGCCTCTTCTGACAGCATGCTCAGTTTACGCAGAACTATATGCCACTATATGGGTAGATATAGCGTATATATGCTATATGTACTGCTATGTGGAGATGAAAAATTGTTCCTGCACCCAACTCATCAAAAATGGCATAGCATATGCTTCAGAGAAAGGTACAAAATCCCATTCTATTGTAAAATGGGGACAAATTTGCTCATTGAGCAATACGGGTGCTTTAAAAATATTTTACGCTTAGTATTTCAGTCTTTGTCCAGCTTCTTGGGGATTGCTAATGTTGATTAAACTAGATTCTGAACCAGTCATACAACTAGATTGGCCTGGGCAATGTACTTAGCTTTCCTTACCTGAGGTTCATGTCCCCTCTCAGTGCCAGGCTAAAGATGTTGGAGAGGTTTCCCCCTGGGCAGCAGCCGCAGACGAGGATGGCCAGGGATTCCATAGCACCCAGCTGGAAGAGCTTGCCCAATACGAATGCTGTCAAGGGCATGATGCTGTACTGAGCCATTATGGCAATTGCCACACTTTTGGGTTTCCTGAGGTGAGCTGTGATCTTGGCTGTCTCCATCGTGCACCCCAGAGATACCATGATGACGAAGAGGACCACAATAAGGGTCACATTGAGGGCTTTGTCCATGGCTTGCTGGCCAAATGCAAATGGTGGTGCCACACTGGTCAAGGAGGTGCTCTGCCTGTGACCTGGGCTCCCAAAAGCTCCCTTTCTGAAGGGTTTAGAGGTCCCTTCTTCTGTAAGTGGCTGGGAAGGTAAGAAAGGGATTGATGCAGAAGTCCAAATAACATCCAATTAATGCAAGCAAAACATGAGCTCTCTTTCAGGCCACCACTCTTACCGTTCAGCTGCTGTTGAAACAGAAGTCCAGGTTTTGAGCAATCAGCTGTGAACCTCATTCGCTTCAGTAATACGTTGTGAATACGTTGTGCAGTTTGTGCAGCTTCTCCTCCGGTATCCCACCTCTTCCATCATCCGCCCTCACCATGAGAATGCGGACATAGATGGTGAGAGTGAGAGGGAGACTTGTTCAAAACTGCTAAAGACGGGCACTTCACACAAAGGAAAACAAATCTCATCCACAAGGTACTGCTGAGGCCAACGCTTAAAAACATGATGCATCCAGGGTACTTTATTTTTAACGAGGGTTATAAAATGCTTCTGGCCATAAATCAATCTCTTGATAGGAGGGCTAGGAAGAAACTTCTTCTGTGGACGGGTAATTTCTCTAGTAAAGTCTTAGGGGCCTTCATGTCACTTTTCCTGATGCAGTAAGTCTACACTGTCTAGAAGATTTTTTGATTGCATATAGGAATGAATTCTCCAAGCCTTACCAGCATCCAAAATATTATTACCTCCGTAGCATTGAGGGAAGGTTCTGCGTGGCAGGAGCCTCAACTGACCATTGCACTACAAAGCCCTGCTCGCTGCAGCACGGCAGTGTTGCTTTTAGGACCTGAGGTGCTCTGCACCATGATCCAGCCAGGATCTCCAAGCAAAGCCGAATAGGCAGCTTTCACCCAGCCCTGACTGGTTCCTGCCTTGTGCTTTCAGTACACAGCATGATGTCTGCTCAGTGCTCTGGTGTACGAGGAAATGGGAGCTGGGCAGGAACCGGGACCAGAGGTGGCTGATGAATATTGTTCCTCCAGCTGCTGCAGAGGTGACCTCTGCTCGTCACCCCCCTCTGCTCCCTGTCTGTACGGTGGACACGCTTCCCTGCATCTGCCATGCTGGGGAATGGCACATTGCCTGCCTCATCCCCAGGTGCTGCGCTCCCTGATCTCTCTGCAGGTTTACCTTCATTTAAGGCATTTATTGCCTTCAAATCGACCTGGGCCAACCCATAGGTCTGGTGTGGGACTCTAGAAACCTACCGAGCCGAGCACATTAAACTAGAGCAAAGGGAATGCCATTACCTTACATGCCTGTGGATGTGGCTGTAGGAGGCTTCAGTGAGATTACCCGCTGCTCCATCCCTTCCCGGCCGAGCTTGGTGAGTGATAGCACTCTTCAGTTCTTCTGCTTCAAGGAAATCTTTCCTCCTTGGCAAAATCTTGTCCTCTTCTTGCAGAATATAAAGCCTGGGTCGAAAAGAGCCTTGTAGATAGAAAAGTTGTTATGTGATAGTTGTCTTACAGAACTGGGGAAGGGATTTTCAACCAGGGAGGTTTGCTGCAATATGGCCAAGCTCTAATCCCTCTGCTGAAGGGCATTCTAATGCTGCAGCAATGTGTCCATCGCTCCTATTCATCTGGGAGCTCAGCAGGCTCAGCCTCTCCAGCCCCATTGCTCTGGAAACACCACTGGAAGCTGGCAGGAATGTCGGAGCCATTCTCCCTCGTTGTCCCCACTTGCTCTCAGTTTGGTTGGGAACTTTTGTTTTCCAGGCTGGCAGCCAGGCCGGAAAAGCACCGACAACAGCTCTGGATCCCGACGTGGGCATCCCTCATCGGGTGGGGAGGAGCGGTGCCTGTGGTGGTGTGGTATCTCCACATCTCCAGATGTGCCAGCATCTCCCGGTGCCTCCGCACATCCATGCCCCTGGCTTCGCCTACAGCCTTGTGAGCACCATGTCGCTGTGCTTGTGGACAAGGGCCTTTCCCGTAAATCATGGGTGGATGTTTGAGACCTCTCTGTCACTGTGGTGGCAGAGACTATTGCCCAGCCTCATTGCTGGGGCCCTGGCCAAGCAAGTGGGAGGAGGTGGCCTGCACTATTGCATGTGTCTTGTTTTAACTTGGGCATCTGCAAAATTCCCAGGCACAAGGGCTGCCCAAGTAGCACGTGGGCAAGATCCCTAGGAATTAGGAGAAAATACAGGAGCAAAGCCCACAGCAATTCCTTCTTTCTTTCTATTCTTCCCTTCAGGTTTTTTTTCCCTGCAGATCCCCAGCCTTCCTAAGGAAATGCTTGTTGTCACTGTGTTTGCCCTTTAGCTGTACGCTCAGTTTTGTCAGAAGATGTGAGAAGGGTCAAGTCAAACAATTAAGTGGTTATAAAGCATCACTGCCTTGGTGGTGCCCAGACCCCTCCCTGCAAGCTCAATATAGCTCAGGGTTTTAAAACTACAATGTTGTAATGCTCTCACCCTTTGTCTTTGCAGGGCTGTAGAAGAATGTTTCAGCTACCCCAATAATTTTTTTTAAAAAAAAGCCTGTTAGTTGTTTGCTCTTCAAGTGTTCCTGCTGGTTCCCAGTAGTTAACGCAGGAAACACTATGGGACCCAAGGGAGAGACTGGTCGAGAGGAGCAGAGTAAATTAGGACCATTATTTCACCCTGATTCATGCTGGGACATCCAGTTGTTTCACACGGGCACCGGAGCTGGGGGTTTGCATTCAGGCAGAGCCAAAGAGCTACATCTCAGCTCTCAGGCGGCTGCTGCCTGCGGTGGGACCTGGGAGGTGGGACCACCAAGGAGCACGGCTGGAGGAAGGAGCAGGCTCCCGTGCCGGGATGCGGGGGGTGCACGGGCATGCTGCTGGTAGCCCACGGTGGGCTGATGCTGACCTGATGGCCACATCCTCTACCTCTGTTCAGAGGAGGCTTTGGCCTCGGAGAAGCCGCCTGTTCAGCAATCAAGCCCCTAGTTTCATCCCTAAGCAAAGCATGCCCTTTCCTTCCCTTGCGTTCTGGGCTCAGTTCTTAAAAGGTGAAGTTCTAGATGTTCTTTAAATGGTCTCCTCTTTTT